ATGGACGTTTCCAGTTTGGATCCTTTGGACAACAGCAGCAACCCATCACAGAGACCATCACATTTGGTAATCCTTACTACTTGAACCCTAATGAGAATATGGCACAGTCACTGGTTGCTGAACCATTTGATGGAACTAATTACACTATGTGGGCAAGATCCATTCAAGTTGTGTTAAAAACCAAGAACAAGCTTGGGTTTCTGGATGGATCTATCCCAACACCCGCACCTGGGTCAGATCTATTTGGTATATGGGATGCTTGCAACACTGTGGTTTTGTGCTGGATACAAAACTCCATGACTAAGGAACAGAGACGTGCAGTGCTGAATCACAACAACTGCAAAACCCTTTGGGAAGAGTTGAAGAGGCGTTTTGGACAACCAAATGCCATGAGGATTGCGAACTTGGAAGATGAGCTTCTGGCCTGTAAACAAGGTACCAGAACCATCAATCAGTATTACACAGAAATCAAAGGAATCTGGGATGAGTATACAGAATTTTGCCCAATAGTGCCCTGTGCTTGTGCTCCTGGTTCAACTATGCCCTGTGCAGCAGTTGAGGCCTTTGTCCTAAAATAGGAGACAGACTACTTGATCAAGTTTCTTCGAGGAATCAACCCAGAATATGAAGTTATTAAGACACAACTGTTAATGCAGAAACCACTACCTAGTGTTTCTGAGGCAGTTGATGATCTACTGCAACATGAACAGAAGCTTAAAGCTGATGCAGTTTCAGGAGGAAAGAAGAATCAGACACTAGCATTAGCAGCTTCAGGTTCTAATAACAAGGGAAATGCAGACAATCCTCAGGGTAAAAAGTACTGCAGATATTGCAAACGAACCAATCATAACATTGAGGATTGTTGGTGGCTTAAGAAGAAACAAGGGGAACATCAGCAGAAGGATGGCTACTCCAGTTCTAGCTCTAGTTCTGGTACACCCAGGTTTGCAGGGTCAGTTGCTCAGGGAGGAGGAAGCAATGTAAGTGAATCTCACTCAGAAGGACACACAACCAGAGAAGGTATGAGCCAAAATCCATCTACCTTTACTGCTGAAGAAATGGCTCGACTCATGTCCTTGCTGCAAGTTGGTGCTAATACCTTACCTTCACCACCTTCCTCACCCTCTGTGAACCACCAAGCCTTCACTGCCTCTTACTATCCACCACATTTCCCTAACCATTCAGGTATACACATAATTTCCTCTTCCCATGTAGCTAAAACCAACAATAGTAATTTATGGATCTTAGACACAGGTGCCTCAGATCACATAGCATGTTCCATGACTATGTTCACTTCATACCATCCAGTCAATGAAACCTATGTTTTCCTTCCAAATAGGACTCAAGTCCCAGTCACCTGTATTGGTACAGTTGTTTTACCTACAGGGTTAACTCTCTATGATGCGCTCCTAGTTCCTAGTTTTTCTTTCAATCTCATATCAGTTAGTAAACTCACTCAAGATCAACCCTTGTCCTTACAATTCCAATCTGATCATTGCTCTATTCAGGACCTACTAAGCAGGAAGAAGATTGGTTTTGCAAAAGAGTCTAGAGGTCTTTACCAACTGATTATTTCTTCAAGTCTTCCTACACCAGTCCACCAAGCAGCCTCCATCTTCAATTTCCAGCCTCAAGACATACACCTTTGGCATTGGAGATTAGGCCATCCTAGTCATGACAGATTGTCCATGTTTCACAATCTTATTCCTAATGTAACTCAATCTAAGTTAGCACATTGTGATGTTTGGCATCTTTCCAAACAGAAAAAACTTCCCTTTCCTATTAGCACCAACACAGCACCTGAGAAGTTTCATTTATTGCACATGGATATTTGGGGACCTCTCTCAGTTGTTTCTTATGATGGTTATTGTTATTTCTTGACTGTTGTGGATGATTGTTCTCGGAGTGTTTGGATATATTTGATGAGACACAAGAGTGAGGTGAGGGGGCTCATTCAAGGCTTCTGCAACTTGGTTAAGAATCAATACAATACCACTGTTAAGATCATTAGAAGTGATCAGGGCAAAGAATTTGAGATATGTGATTATTTTGCTGCTGAAGGAATTGAACACCAGGTTTCCTGTGTTGAAACCCCAGAACAAAATGGGAGAGTGGAAAGGAAACACCAACACATCCTTAATGTGGCTAGGTCACTGAAATTTCAGTCTGGTCTACCTTTAGAATACTGGAGTGATTGTGTGCTACATGTTGTTTACCTCATTAACAGACTTCCCACCCCTATTTTACAAAACAAATCCCCCTATGAGGTTCTATACAATGAACCACCTGTTTTGAAACACCTCAGAGTGTTTGGCAACCTCTGCTATGCCAACACTCTTTCCCATGGGAGGACTAAATTTGCTCCCAGGGCAAGACAGTGTGTGTTTCTTGGCTTCCCTGCTGGAGTGAAAGGTTATAAAGTTCTTGATATTCACTCTAGACAAACTTACATCTCCAGAGATGTGGTTTTCTATGAAACCATTTTCCCTTTCCATTCCATTGATCAGTCTCCTTCCTCTTCTTCTTCTTCACCCAACTTCCTGTTCTCACCAAATATAGACCCTATTCCAGCTCCTCCATTACATGTTCCTCTTTCTTCCCCATCACAATCTCCTCAGTTTCATTCATCCATGGATGAAGGGGGGCAGCCTGAGGATCATGTTGAATCAACCCATCATGAGCAATCTAGCACCATTCCACCAGTTACCTCATCACCAGAGGCCCATGATGGTTATGTCTACTTTGAGTCTGATGATCAGGAAATACTCCAGCAAGTTGATGTTGATCATGACACTGAGTTTCTGCAGGACAAAGGAAAATCAAAGAGAGCTGTTAAACTGCCTAGTAAGTACAGTGATTACCAATTGGATCCATCCATCTCTTTTGGACCATATGGTAAGGCCAATGTTTGCAGCAAGCATTCAATTTGTTTGAATGTTGATAGTCTGAGTCCTGTAGACAGACTGTTTGCTTTGAGTGTTGTGAACCATGAGGAGCCTAAGTCATACTATGAAGCAATCAAATCAGAAGCATGGAATAGGGCAATAAATTCTGAACTGTATGCTTTGGATGAGAATCAGACTTGGGATGTGGTGCCCTTACCACCAAATGTGAAGGAGATAGGGAACAAGTGGGTGTTCAAATACAAGTTCAAACCAGATGGATCTTTGGAGAGGGAAAAGGCAAGGTTAGTAGCCAAGGGCTACACACAAGTTTATGGCATAGATTTTCTGGACACATACTCACCAGTTGCTAAGATAAATACAGTCAAGACTTTTCTAGCAGTGGCAAATATGAAGAACTGGAAAATGGAGCAATTGGATGTGTCAAATGCCTTCCTACATGGTGATTTGGAAGAGGTTGTGTACATGAAAATTCCACTGGGATTGAAGGTTGAGTCAGTAGGAAACCAGAAGATGACTTGCAGGCTTAACAAGTCACTTTATGGCCTGAAACAGGCCTCAAGACAGTGGTTTGCTAAGCTAACCAACTTCTTGTTGAAACTGGGATTCTCACAATCAGCATCTGACTACTCCTTATTCACCAAGTGGACACATGGAAGAATTGCAGTCCTCCTAGTTTATGTAGATGACATAATCATAGGAGGTGATGCACAGAAGGACCTTGATCAAATCAATACTGCTTTGAGCAAGGAATTCAAGATAAAATTGCTTGGACCACTGAAATACTTTCTTGGTCTGGAAGTGAGTAGAAATGAGGAAGGTTTGAGTATTTGTCAGAGGAAATATTGTGTTGATTTGCTGAAAGACACAGGTTACCTAGAAGCTAAAGGGTGCAAAACACCTGTTGATCCTAAAGTGAAGCTGTGTGCTAAGGGAACACCAATGGAAGATGGGGAAACCTACAGGAGACTGGTAGGCAGACTCCATTACCTCACCATAACCAGGCCAGACATAGTGTTTGTTGTCCAGCAGTTGTGCCAGTACCAGAAGAACCCTTATAATGAACACATGCAAGCAGCTTACAGGGTTCTAAGGTATCTCAAAACAGCACCAGATCAAGGCATTATGTTCAGGCGTGGATCAGAGGCAAAATTAACAGGATTTAGTGACTCAGACTGAGCAAGCTGTCCAGATACACGTTGTTCAATCACAGGGTACTGTACTTTCCTTGGTTCATCACTCCTCACCTGGAAAACTAAGAAGCAAACCACATTGTCGAGGTCATCATCCAAGGCAGAGTACAGGGCACTTGCACACTTGGTTTGTGAAGTGGAGTGGTTGAAGAGGTTACTCTCAGAGTTGACAGTGGAAGTACCTTCACCAATCTCTGTGTTTTGTGATAACAGGTATGCTATACATATAGCAGAAAACCCTGTTTTCCACGAGAGAACCAAGCATATTGAGATCGATATGCACGTTACAAGGGAAAGAATCAAAACTGGATTGATCAAACTGAAGCATGTGAATACAGGTGATCAACTAGCTGACATTTTTACAAAGGGGTTGGATCGTTTCAGGTTGAAAGATTTGCTTGGCAAGTTGGGGATTGCAGAAGCACCACCAACTTGAAGGGGGGTGACAGAGTTGAGTTGCAGATCATCGAATCCTGGTGAACTGAGGACTGAGGAACGACGACGTTTACAAGAAGAAGGAGCTCGGTTGAAGAGAAAACGGCAGCGTTCTGTTTAGTTTGTTAGCCGTTAATTTACACTGTTTATTTAAATTAATGCCCAATCATGTAAGGACACCTTGACTATGTTTGTTAATCGAATTCGTAGCTATAAAAGCTACTGGAGACTCAGTATACTACTGAGCTTTCCTCTCCATTTCATCTATCTTTTTACAAAAGTTTACAGTTAATCCCCATTTGTGTACGACTGCCATGACTTCTCTTTCACCACTCACCACATCATCCACTATCGTCCTCCTGCAGCTCCAGCGTCAGCCCCCTTCCTCTCTTCCTCACTGTCTGTGTGAAACCCAAGGCCGAAGAAACATTTCTCAGCGGCCATGGCCGATTCAGAAGAAGAACAAGACTCAACCTATCTTCCGAATCAAATGTCGCTTTTGTCGACAAACAAGAATAAGAAACCCCAAATCCCAAATATGTGCCCCAGATCCCAAATCCGAAGTCAAAATCCACAAATTGGAAGTTAAGCTGACCTTCTTCACAGAGGCAGACCAAGAGAAGATGAGTCCCAAGAACACGATGAAGAAGAACAGACCCCAAAGATCCCAATCCCTCAACGCCTTGTCGGGATCTTCCCTAAACGGATTCAGAAACACCACCAGCTTCACAATCCTCGTCAGATCCCTCTTTTCCATATTCTGTACGAGCTCCGTCAACGTGTTTGGAGCTGAGCCGAATCCAGCTGCCGCTATATTGTTCGATCCATACGGGGGCGCGAGCCCGGGGCCAGTAGCAGGAAGCATAGAAGGCGGCGCGGAGGACGACGGGAGAAGGGCAGCTTAGTTTCCGCCGTCGGCGGCGGTGGGAGGTTGGACTGGAGAAACAGAGAGGACGAGACGGGGATCCACGACAAACTCGGTGGGCGGGCAGGTTGAACTGTTGCAGGAGCTGGGGAAGATGATGGAGTTGGGGAAGATGGGTTGTGCGAAGCAGATGGGTACATGAGGGTAATTTTTTTTAATTTATGATGTGTAAATTTTAAATAATTGAAATATATGATGTGTCACTATTTACTTATTTGGCGCTGACGTGTCCGCTGATTTGGCGCCCAATCAGCGAACTGTCAAATAAGTTTACGGTGTTAATAATACCATTAAAGTATCTAACGGAGATGGCTATATGTGTCCTACAACAACTTTAAAAGCTGGCTATAAGTGGTATTTCTCCAAATTTGGCTCTTATTGGCACAAACGGGAAAGTTTTGTAAAATTTTACGAATTAAAATAGTCGATTAGGGTTTTAGTCTCCTTCTTCAATTACAATAATTCAAGTCAGCCTCTCCTTGTTCAGAATTCAGGCTCCGTCACTACTCCTGGTAGCTGTTTTCTGTGCTCACAATAGGACTGGAAAGAAATATCGTGACAATCCCAAGGGGTTTTCATTTTTAACAACACCCATCTTAGCCCTTGGTGGACCCATGGGGTTTAGAGGTATATCGGAACACTCTAAAATTTGAAAAAAAATATTATCAAATCCGCAATAGTAGTTTGCATACGGGTATAAAAATATTTAAGTGATAGTGAGACACCGCTAAAATTTGAAAAAACGATTATCCAACTCTCAGTGATAGTTTGCATATGGGTGAAAAAAATATTTAATTGGTAGCATGTGTGATTTGAACTTGGGACACTGCGGCTCAAGATATAGTGCATAACCCATGGTTATGGGGTTGTTAATGAGCCGAGCCAAGCCGAGCTTGGCCTTGTTCATGTTCGGCTCATTTATAAATGAGCCGAGTTGAGTCGAACACGAGCCAGCTCATTTATTAAATCTTGACACATCATTAAGATCGAAAGTTCGGCTTGAGCACAACTCTAATATAATTTATAATATAAATACCCTAATATTTATATGTCATATGTGGTACATGTGATTACCTAATATTGATGTGATCCAAATCCGAAGAGAAAGATGAGGTTCTGGTTGATGGACTTACTCTCGTCACTTGTAAAGAGGATGCACAAGTTTTGATTTCCTCTCAAGAAGAACCAGAACTTAAAAAATAGAAAATGAAGAGAAGGTGCTACCTATCACCAACATGATAATGGACTTTGATCATGATGAGATAAATCTAAAGGAGCGTCCAAAAGAGTCACCTATTGAAGAAGCTACAGATCATGTTGAGTTGGCCATTGGAGATGGAATTCTACCCAAGGATGTCTATCGCAATGAAGATATGGAGACAAATGTAAATGTTCTACAAGTTCAAGACATGTTCTTCCCTATTGGAGTAGATTTTGATATTGGAGATGTCATTGACCATCACCAAAATTCGACCATGGGCATCATCAACATCCCAAATACATCACCAACATCAATTTCTGTGTTTGAGCATGGTCCAAGCTCTTCTCAATACAAGTCAATTCATATGGGAGATTATGGTGCGAGTGTTGAACATATGGAGTTCGTTATTGGATATGAAGTACCATACAAGGAGGCTCATATCAGAGAGAGACAAAGACTTCAAGAATTTCTGGATAAGCTTGGAATTCAAGGTGCATATTCAAGTTGGCAAATAATGAAGTCATGGAAGAGGATTTATATGTCGCAGTAAGATTTGAGGTCAAATCTTCTTCAAGAGGGAGGGAATGATTCGACCCCGCTCACCCTATATGAGCACATTAAAGTTCAAGAAAATCAAAGAATCAAGAAAATCAAGAAAATGTCGTTTTCAAGAAAAGATCATTGGAGCTGCGTACTTTGGTCATATCATCCGAGTTCGAGGGTTCTCTTCGGATTTGGATCATATCAAATATTATGTCATATATGAGACGTATTTGTTTACATATACACAATATATTAAACACCATATGAGGTGATATATACAATTTAAATAATTATGTGCATCATTAACAAACCAACTCATAAAATATAGATTGATTTTCTCATAAGTTGTAGTTGCGTTGGCTCTCTGGTCACAATGTTGGGACATCTCATAGTCTCAAAACGAGACAGTTCATGAGTTGTATTAAATGAGCCACCTAATCGAGCTAGTTCACGAGCTTCACGAGCCTAACAAGGTAGAGCTCAAGCTCGGCTCATTTATTAACGAGCCGAGCTTTTTTTAATCGAACGAGCTTCTATCGAGTTCGAGACCGAACCGCTCACAAATAGCTCGACTCATTAACAACCTTAATGCACCCATGAGTAACTAAATCTGGACCCTTTATTCAGAAAATCCAGATTTAAGGGTGGAGAATTAAAGGCATTTTCATTTTCTCTTGTTTTCTTAATCGGTTCATATCTTCTTCGTTTTAACTCTGATTTTTTTTTTGCACAGATGGAACAAATTCATTGTGCTCTACAAAATGAGATCCATTTTCAATATTTTTTGAGAATTTTTTTCTTGCCTCTCGTTACCAACTCCATACCATATGGTATCTTCTTCGTTTTGAAGTCGTTTTTGAAAATTATTGCAGAGAAGGAACGATTTCATCATGATCTATTGGATTTAAAAATTTCTGGGTGAACAAAATACAAGACCAAAAAATATCACACAGTATCACCCTGGTACGGGGTGGTATTTTGTGGTACATAATGTTGAAAGTCGTAAATGACAGTTAATATACTCCTACTATAATGTATTCAAAGTCTTGGTATGTTCATACCATCATAGTACGCTTTTCATCCTATATAATATGCTCTTATTTCAATACCAGTCAATACCATATGGTATAGACTGGTAAAAAATGGCTCAATTTTTTTTGTTTAAAAAATATATCAAAGTGGATATCGTTTTGAAGAGCACAATTTGATCTAACTGTGTAAAAAAATTAAATTCGACTTAAAACGAGTGAGAAATCGTCCGTAAAAGATTAAAGGGTGAAAAAATAAAGGCTTTTCAGGAGAGAGAAGGGGCGCCGATGTGACGGATTTCGATTGAGTTATGCACAGTTATTGATCACATGTTATTCACAACATGATCTTTGTTAAACTGCAGCTCATTTGTTATTGTATTTAAATCAAATATAATAGTAAAACACTATTCTATCCCTAATTATTTTCAAAACCTGACGATTAAACCCAATAACGGACTACTCTTGTCTAGTAGGATATATCGAGAGAGATTTGTTGAGCATTGTAGACATCAAATGTATTTCACTTATTTTGTAATTTTTTCCAAAATGCAAACTCCTATGTTCCTTTCATTACAGTATTTCTAAAACACATCGTAGGCTTTTGTTGTAACTTGTACTAATGAGATATTTTTGTATTTAATAATTATTTAATTCAATTTTTAAATTAAATTTATTTTTGAATGATGACACTCCTATGTAAAATTTATTGAACCCACACTAAATCATCACACCTTGAATTTGAATGTTGAGGTCAACAACTAACTTAAAAAAAATCAGCAGTTAAAAAAAATCAGAGGTTAAACTGCTATTTTGGTTATTTTGCCCAAATTTCATGTATTAGATATATTATATATAACATATATCAGCTTGGAGTGGAGCGGATACCCAGACTTCGCGATTCCCATCTCGACCGTCCAGATGGCGAAGAAGTTCCTTTGGAGTTTTAGAGAATTAAGTCCTCTGAGTCGGAAGATTCAAGATAGGGGAGACCGGGAGGGGGTAATAGAAGGGAAACAAAATGAGGGGTTCAAAAATTTGTTGAAGGGGGAATTTTTTTAGGTCTTCGGGGGGAATTTTTTAGGTGAACAAAAATTGGCGGGGTAATAGAACGGGAGGGTTCGAAAATTTGGGGAGGGAATTTTAGGATTTGAGCCAAAAGAAAATGGGGGAGTTTTTTATTTTTTCATTGAATAAAGGTGGGAAATTTCCCTCTTCATATTTGATGACCTTTTGTCAAAATTAATTAATTAATTAATTGCTCTTATTGTTTACGGGAACTTTGGACCAAATTTTGGGGTTAAAAATGATTGTTTCCTCAAATATTTGGGGTTTATAAAATCAAATTAAGATGTACATTTGAATATGATATATTTAAGATGTACATTCACAAGTTAAATTAATTTTTAAAATTAAATTAATTAATAAACTATAAAAAAAACAAAATATCTATCACAAAGCATAACCATGAAGAAACCTAACCCTAACCCTATAACACCATTTTAAATCTGAAACCTAAAACTAACCTTAACCATCAACCATACATTATCCTAAATCACAATATTAAGTAATTAACCCTAAAACTAACCTCAACCCTTAACCATAATTTCATAACCCAAACATGCAAACAATGAACTCTAAACCATGACCCTATACGGATATACCCTATACTATAGTTATATGTTATGAAATTGTTGGAATAAGCTACAACGTATGTTATGTGAAGAATGTAAGTTGAGTCAATTTTATATTCGGTTATTGAGAAGAACATATGTCCTATGACTCCAAACTCTAAACCACGAGTCCACTGCCGTATACCCTATGCACTAACCTTAACCCATGAAGTATAGTTATGTATTATGAAATTGTTGGTTATTGAGAAGAACATATGTCCTACGACTCCAAACGTTTAATACCCGTATTTAATGAAATGAATTATTAACTTTACTATTTTTACATATTGATTTATTTATAAAAATAATTATTTTTATATATTTATAACTATTAACGTACTATTAAACGTAACATTACCTAAGAGACGAAGTATAATATCCGTAAGTATTTTATACATAACTTTCTCGTACCATATTTTACTAACTATGATATACATTTAAGTTAATTTTATGTATTATTAACTTTACTATTTTTACAAATTGATTTATTTATAAAAGTAATTAGTTTTATATATTTATAACTATTAACGTACTATTAAACGTAGCATTACCTAAGAGACGAAGTATAATACCCGTAAGTATTTTATACGTAACTTTCTCGTACCATATTTTCTGTAAGTATTTTATACGTAACTTTCTCGTACCATATTTTACTAACTATGTTATACATTAAGTGAATTTTATGTACAAGTTGA